TTCCAGGAGGGGATGATGCGCGTGAAGCGCGCCAGCAATGCGGACGTCCAATCCGTTCGTTGCTTCTACCTACACGGAGCGCGCGACCACTCCGACGCCACTGCCGTCGTACTCCGCGCCGACACCGGAAGGATCTGCCTGTCCAACAACGTCGTGTGGATCAACCGCCGCACCGCCGTGCCGGCGCCGGTACCGGCCAGCGGGGGGGGTTCTTCGGTCACCGCGGCGCCCTCGCCGGCCGCCGCCGCTCCTACAGCCGCTGCCGCACCGCCACCGCCATGGACATCGCGGACGTACACCCACACCCCGCCCACAGCGACTACCGCTACGCAGCCGCCCGCTTCACCGCCGCCAGCTTCTCCGTCGATCTTCACAGGGGCCGGAGCTCCGTCGCCGATATCCACGGCGTCGTCGAGTGCATCGCCGTCCACCGCAGCCACGCCGCCCCGTCCACCGCACGCAAGCGCCATCGCTCCCGCTCCCCATCACCCGCCGCTTTCACAGCGAGCCGTCAGAGAGTTGGGCGAGAAAGAAACCAGGGTACATGGCCGTACGCGCGGCGACCGAGTGCGCTTCATGGATGAGCAACAGCAACCGCCGTCGCCGTCAGGTGGCGGCACCGCTCTCCAACACCGCCTTGGGCTGCTGTCGATGATGGGCAAGGATGCGCTCGTCTCGTCGCTCGCCACCCGGGAAGCCGTCGATCAAGGACGTCGAGACCTGCCACCGCCCGCCAACATCGCCCCTCCCGCTCCCCCACAGCCGCAAGATACGAGTTTAGCAGGCCATGGGAGCGGGGGGGCCGCAGGAGCTGGGGGGCCGGGGGGCCTGCACATGTTCGCAGCAATGTTCGCCACCCGCGAGGATGTGGAAGCCACTCTTCGTGCCAAGCGCCCTCCTGACAAGACGCCGGACCTTCCTCACTGCCTCGCCAGCGACCTCCGAGTGCCGAAAACGTTCAAGGAGGCCATGCGGTCTCAACATTCAGAGTTGTGGGATGGTGCAGTCGGTCGGGAGTTTTTCGGTCTGCTGGATGCAGGTACTTTTAGTCCGGTATAGCAACCAGTAGAAAACTTCATCAACGCCAAGTGGGTACTCAACTGTAAGGCAGACGAGTCCGGATGGCCGACGAAATTCAAGGCACGACTTGTAGCGCGAGGGGACATGCAGAGGGCTTCGATTGATTTTGGAGAATTGTTTGCACCCACCGTATCCGTGTCTAGTGTGCGTTTGTTGGCAGCATTGGCATGTGAGCAGAACCTTGACTTGTGCCATTTCGATATTCAGCAGGCATTTGTGTAGTCTGAGCTTGAAGAGGATATTTTCATGCGTCTCCCGCAAGGTTGTGGTAGGTTATCTGGACTGATCGTGAA